GGTTATTATTATTATTATTATTATGTGTAATTTAGCCATATAACTCACAGGGTATGTAAATAACTCTGATTGTATATAATATGAAAATAAAAAAAATAAAAAAAATTACAAAATTTTCAACTGCTCTTATTAAACTCTTATCATTACAGGCCTATGCCATCCAGAACAATGCGACCAATTCTTCCTCTGCACCAACGGCACTCTAACTTTGGAGACTTGTGAAAATGGACTTTTGTTCGACGGCAAAGGGGCTGTCCACAATCACTGCAACTACAACTGGGCTGTCGATTGCGGACACAGAGTCCACGATCGTAAGAAGAATATAGATACTGAATAATGTTTTAAATAAAATGAAACAAATCCATCATTGTATTATTTTTTTAGCTACCCATTATCGACTGAAGGATGCCTGTACCACTTTGGAATCTACCCAGACAGTGCAGATGCTCCACAACTTATGTGAAATGTGCTCACGGAATACCTTATCCACAACATTGCGAGGTAATAGACAATAGTAATAAAATATCCCCAATTTATATTAACTATATGACCCGACAGACGTTGTCCTGTACCCATGCCTACAAATATAATATACTAATATTTACCGTTTACATAAAAATAATAATTATTGTTTTTTATTACTCTTCACGCCAAAATGCATATACATTTTACAATATGAGCGATGTTAAATGTAGAACTGCTTTAAATAAAATGATAAGTATCAATTCCCATACTATATTCGAAGTTGAATTCTTTTAAACGGTATAACATAACCATAACCATAACATAACACTGGTGCTTCATGTTGGATTAAATTAATTTAATTTTTAATTATTTAAGATATCTAAAATTGCATCTTAAACTTCTCCTAATCGATATCGTTAGGGCTGAATTGTATGCATTCATCTTTACTTTTCCGTTTGTTGTTCTGAAGTGAAATTTTTACGAATTTTAAAATTATATATTGAAAAAAAACTATATTGAAAATTTAATATCCGAATCTTGTGTTGGCGCCCCCTAAGGCGTGCGCTCGTATTTTTCGCATGCATTGCATTAAAGGTAGGCTGATTAATACTTAATTTAATATTTTAAGTGAATTAATTTGTCATATCCTGTTCACATGTGTATCATCCAATCTGCCATACATATACTGTATTTTATATTATTTTTAATTTCTGGCACATGTCAGCTGCTTTTTGGCAATAATAATGTAGACATTTCATTTTTAACTATCCGTAGGGTAAGTTATTGTAAAGGGCCGAAAATCGAAATCGAAAATTTTTACATTTCTCGACGTTTTGAAGGTTTCAGAAATTTTGGTATACTTCAGAAAAAATGGATGTGTGTGTGCTATGTGTGTGTGTGTGTGTGTATGGATACAAATTTCCAGTCACGTTTTCGGGCGCACGAATCACCGATTTGAATGGTTCAAAAAACATTCGATTCCTATTGATAGGGCGAAGAAGAGCATTAGTATTTGGTAAAAGCAGGTCCAGCCGAGAGATCGGAGAGCAAGGAGTGTGCAGAAAATAGAAATCGAGTTTTGAGAGAACGGAGCATCCTACTTGAATTATCTAAAAAACATTCAATTAGTAATGATTGGGAGAAGTGGTTATTAGTTTTTAACAAAGGCAGGCCTAACCATTTCGGAGATACAGAGCTAAATGTGCAAAAATGGCATTTTTGAGAAAACTAAGCGTCCGATTGAATGATTTAAAAAACTGTCTGCTTGTTTTTTCAACAAATAATTGATTTGAAAAAAAAAAATTGTTTCAATTTTTTTTTTTCTAAAACAATTTTTTTTTTTATATATCAAAAATAATTTAGATTTTAATTGTAATTCTGACTAAAGTTCTAATGTACTTTAAACAAATATGTTTAACTTTGCAATTCAGTTTATATAATTCTTATAAATATTAGACAATGTGTTTTTTTTTCATTTATTTCTATAATATTGCATATAAATCCCAGTACTTTATAATCACATACATCCTCAAAAATTTCCTTAACAAACTTCAGAAGGATTTATCAAATTCGAATAATCGTTTAGGAGGAGTATACAGTGAGTGCTTGCAATTTAATATGAACTTTATATAATAGCAATAAAGCTCAAATTGATTCTACGTTTTAGTTAGAAAACGTTTGTATGAGAAAAAAAGGGGCTGTTTTTAGGTTTTCCCGGAAATTATTCGATTCTTTCTCGCTGTGAGAACCATCCTTGGATTTCAACAAACATTTTAAAAAAAGAATTCGCCAAATTGGTCCAGGCGTTGTTGAGTTATGCGCTCACCAACACATTTTGCGATTCATTTTTATATATAAGATTTAATCATTTTGCAGCCTGGACTAGCCTATGATGACAGAACTCACTCGTGCAACTGGCCTGATCTTTTACTTGACATATGCAACCCTGAAGGTATTACATATTATAACTTTTTAGTAAAGTATGTATTTATATATATATAACTTTTATTATTAACAGCTGTCGTTGGATTCAAATGCCCGACAAAAATCCCATCAAACACTTCGCTGCTAAATTCTGGCCGTTCCCAAGATTCCCAGTGCCCGGAGACTGTCACAGACTCATTACTTGCGTAGAAGGTACAGTAACTGATATAAAACAAATATGTATTACTACTATATGTCTATTACTACCTAGGTCATCCCCGTCTGGTTCCTGTGGTGACAAGCAATTATTCGACCAAAATACCCTGTCATGTTTGGACCCCGAAGAGCACAACATTTCCTGCAACGGCAAACATTTGTAATTTAAACAAGCAGACACATCATTTCAATAATTTTAATAGCAAGAAATGTAGCTGCAAGCTCTCTCTAAAATGTTCTAAATACAATCATGTTATGTTATTAATTTATATATTTTAATATGATCTCTTTCAAAAACAAGTATATATGTAGAATCAAATTTGTAAATATGTTTTCAAATTATACAAATATATATTAATATTTATAAATTGTTAGTTTTTTTACAATTTATAGATCTGACTTACGTTGCAGTTACCAGAGAGAAGTTTTGACTAATTTATACACAGTTTTAATCACTGAAAACCATTTTTAATAAACCATAAGAAGTAGAATAGCTTAATAATTCAAACACACATTACAACACACTTATTTTATTATTAAAACACAATAATATTAAATACAAATTTGCTTTTCACTGTACGTCAACGATCTTCTTCCAAATTTCGCGACATGTGCAAAAAGTGTTGCCACATTCTAATATTATATTTTTTTCAAAAATAAAAAATAAACTTTGAATTTGCTTTATTATAATTTTAAATTTATTTATATTATGTTTTATAATCAGTTTGTAAATAAATATTTGTAAAAATTTAATTTTAGCGCGTTTTATATTAAAAAATAATTCGATTTAAATCAACTGTCAAAGTAATGTGTTGCCACATTATATAATAATATTTTTTTCAAAACCAAATAATAAACTCTGAATTTGCTTTAATACAATTTTTAATATATTAATTTTACGTGTTTATAATCAATTTGTAAATAAATAATAATAAAAATTTGATCTTAGCGCGTTTTTTTATTATAAAATAATTCGATTTGAATCGACTGTCTAAAGTAATGTGTTGGCACATTATATAATAATATTTTTCCAAAAATTAAACTTTGAATTTGCTTTAATATAATTCTAAATTTATTTATATTATGTGTTTATAATCAATTTGTAATTGTTGAATAGTGAAAATTTGAGTTTAGCGCGTTTTTTATTATAAAATAATTCGATTTGAATCAACTGTCAAAGTAATGTGTTGTCATGGTAACCGTTATTGACAGTTCAAACTACTGTATTTATTTTTACTAATTTTTATATATTTCCGTTATTTTACACTATTTAAATATGTTTTTATTTATACTTTTTATAAAAATTAGTACGATATTGACTCAAATACAATAACTGCACGATGGTGAGTAATATTTTTAAAGGACTTATAATAACCTAACCTCTTTGACATCAGGATAAATATAAATACAATTTATATTAATTCTTTTATATTTTTAGGCTCAGTTTTGTCCTGATGAACACGGTGCCACAACCACTTTATTAGACTACGCAAATCGATTAAATAAAGAAAAATTTGATTCACAATTAGCTCTCAGAAGAGACCGGCTTGGAGATGAAAAATTATTTCTACGAAGACTCCATTTGGAACGGAGGGAGGCCGAGTTGGAAGAAGCAGTCGTCAGGGTAATAATATATATAATATTATATATATATATATATGGTGTGTGTGCGTTATATTAATTATGTTTTTAGTCCCAAGAGATGAAAGTTTTAGCAGCCGAGCAATGTAGACAAGAAGAAAGTCTAGCTCGTGAAGTAGCCAGAATGAAACAGGAGGAAATTCTGGAAAAAAAACGCAGACAACTAGTTCGAGAGAGTAGTTATGAAATTAAAGCTCTCGAAGAAAAGTTAAGAGCTGCTTATTGTGTTAAAGTGCAGCAGTCACAAATTGCTGAAAAGGAAGCACAACGACTAAAAAATAAAGTCTGTATCAAAAACAATACAACCCAAGTGATTATATATTTATACTTTATTTCTTTTACCAGGAAGATGAGAAGCGTTTATACCAGCAATTAGAAATGGCTCGCATGAAGGAAGAAGATTTTCTGAAGCACAAAGAACAAGAGGATTCCAAAAAGAAACAAGATTACAAACGTGAACTGCAAGAGCAGATCATAACGTCACACCAAATGAAACTTTGTATGTACGAAGAGTATTTAAGAGAGAAAAAGATGATCGATGATGTTGTCCAGAGATTGCATGACGAGGACATGAGGTAAGAATAGATAAGATAGAATAAGTAATAAATAAATAAAATGAGAATAGATCTACTCTTACATGAGTTAAGAAATAGATAAGATAGAATAAGTAATAAATAAATAAAATAAGAATAGATCTACTCTTACATATCAGAATAGATAAAGACTCTAGAGACAATGTTTTGTCTATTATTATTGTGATTATTTTTCAGAGAGTTGGAATTGAAAATGGAGAAAAAGAATCGAACAAGACGCGAAATGGAGGAGTTTAAATGTGCTCAAGAATTGTGGAGGAAACGTGAAAGGGAATACTTGGAGGAGGAGCAAAGAAAGGTTGCTCGAGAAGCTGCCAGGACTCAAGATAATGAGAAAGAAAGGTAATAGAATAATAACATCCATTGCAGGTATTTTTACCCTTTACAAACAATTGACTTCGTTTTTCGTTGTTTTTGATATGTAAATTTACGACATTTTTTTACATTTCTTAAAACGACTTGAAAATTTCGTTCCGAACGTATACATTAGTAAAAACTAGATAAAATTTACTAAAATTTAGTAAAAACTGTTATATGCACTTGGATATTAAAATTTTGAATAACTCGTCGTTGAAATTAGTTTTTTGATAATTGGCAACATATAGATACATTTTTTTACTTTTCTTCAAATAACTTTTAATTGTCTTACCGGACACTATAATTTGCTTGCATCAATAAAAACTAGATAAAATATACCAAAATCTAGTAAAAGCTGTTATATACACTTGGATCTTAAAACTTCGAATAATTCGTAGTTGAAAAGCGGACTTTAGTATCTTGATTTAAGGGGCAATATGTGGATTTAGGACATTTTTTCAGTTTTCTTTAAATTACTTTTAATTTTCTTTTCGGACATTGTAATTTGTTCACATTAGTATAAACTAGATAAAATTTACTAAAATCTAGTAAAAACTGTTATATACACTTGGATATTAAAATTTTGAATAATTCGTGACTTAAAGTATCTTGATCGTGTGCAATATGTGAATTTAGGACATTTTTTTTACTTTACTTCAAATAACTTTTAATTTTCTTTTCGGACATTATACATTGTTTACATCAGTAAAAACTAGATAAAATTTACTAAATTATGTAAAAATTTATATTATTATTATCTTATTATTTCTTATTGTTATTTTGTTATATTTTATTGTTTTTCTAGTATTATTTTATTATTCAGAAATTTTATTTATATTATTTATTAATTTTATTTTTATTATTATTTGCTTTTATTTTATATTAAATCATCATACTACAGATATTATTTTCATGTAAATTCTATCCTTTGCTCTTTTATTTATTTAAATTTATGTTATTATTTATCAAGTTGTAATAAATATTGTAATTAAAAAAAATGTAAAAACTGTTGTATACACTTGGATGTTAAAATTTTGTACAATTCGTAGTTGAAATGCGGACTTTAGTATTCCCATAATTTGCTTAGGAACATTTTTCTTACTTTTCTTCAAATAACTTTAAATTTTTATTCCGGACATTATAATTTATGTACATCAGAAACAACTAAAAATTTACTAAAATATAGTAGAAACTGTTTTATACACTTAGATATTAAAATTTTGAATAATTCGTAGCTGAAACGCAAACTTTAGTATTTCCACAATTTGCAACATCTTTTTACTTTTCTTAAAATAACGTTTAATTTTCATTCCGTGCATCATAATTTGTTTGCATTAGTAAAAACTAGAGAGAATTTACTAAAATCTAGTAAAGACTGTTGCATACACTTGGATATTGAAATTTTGATTAATTCATAGTTGAAACGCGGACTTTAGTATCTTGATCATGTGCAATATGTGGATTTAGGACATTTTTTCAGTTTTCTTCAAATTACTTTAAATTTTAATTTTGGACATTAAAATTCGTGTACATCAGTGAAAACTAGATAAAATTTATTAAAATTTTTCAATTAGTATTTTGTACACTTTGATATTAAAATTGGGAACAAAATGACGCACAAATGTTATTCACGGCATTTTTATGTTTAATAATTCTTTTTAATTTGGAGTTGTATAAAAAACTCTGTCAGTTTGGCCAGTGTTAATTTATATATATTATATGTTACTAATACTATTTAATTGAACAGAAATTATATATAAATTGTTACTTATTGTTATTGTTAATTTATATATTAATTGTTACTTGTTATTAATTTAACAGGAAAGCACGTTGGAAAGAAAAAGAAGCAGCCAAGGAGCGTGTACAAGCTTACATCATGAACAACATGAAACAAGAACAAGTAAGTACTAAAAACCTTTTTATACAACAACAAAAAAATCCTCAAAAGAATAAAAATTAATCCTGTCTTATGATTTATTTTTTATATATATATTTTTATAGAAACGTAAAGAGGATCTACAAAACATGCTGGAAGAATTAGCAGCTGAAGAAATGAAACAAAATAACGACGATGAAGAAAAAAGAGAAATTGAGATGGAATTAAGAAAACGACTCAAGATGAGACAGGATCTCGATGAGCAGAGATATTATAAAATGTTGAATTTGAAGAGACAAGAAGAAGAGGATGCATCATACAGGAGACAGGTAAAAGTTTTTATTCATTAGTACACAATTTATTTTATATTAAACACTCTAAAACAAAAGAAAGTACATAAAAGCCCCCTTAGAAGTGCAAGCAGTCTTTTCAACAAATTAATGTTTCAACAAATATTTTAAAATGAAGTAATATGAAAGAGATAAATATATACAAAGACTATGTATAGATGTATAAACTTATCCATAATCTCTCATACCAGACACACCTGTCGGACTGAGATATGGAAATGTATATAATTTTGTTATTAAATATTGATCCTTTATTTTTTTCTCGTAGGAGTTGGAGCGTTTAGCAGAGATGGCCAAATTGGATCAATTATCCGATGCCAAGCGAAGGATGAAAAGATTGGAGCATGGTCGAGCAGTCGAAGCAATGATAGAAGACAGGAGGAGGAGACGAGCTGAAGAAATGGCTCAGCTGGTGGAGAGCCATAAGCAGGAGCAGGACCGAGAAAAGATCAAGTCAGTTGAAGATTTAAATTATAGTTTCATACACACATTTTGTGATGTTATGATGATTCAATATCCATTTTTTTCCCAGGCAAAGGATGATAGAAGAAGAACGTATCAAACTTCTGAAAGAGCATGCACAGAATTTAGCAGGTTATTTGCCACCTGGTCTTTTAAAACCGGAAGACAAAGAGATTTTAGGAGAGTTATTAGTGTGTTCAACAAACAAGAACTGATTTTTTGGAATTTGTACTTTTTGTGAATAAATTGTTTGTTGATTATACACAATTTTTTGTTGAGTACCTGCAGAAGTTTGTTTTCAGCACTAAACAGCACTTTCAGATAATTTACAACACCTGCAGGCAATCTATAATTTTGGTAAATGCTATTCCAGATAATTTGAAACACTTTCAGACAATTTACAATACCTTCAGACAATTTGTAACACTTTCAGACAATTTATAACAATTTCAAACCATCTACAACACTTTCGAAGCATCTACAACCCTTTCAGACCATATGCAACCCTTACAGATTATTTACGATACTTCCAGACAACTTACAACAATTTCAGAGAGTATACAACATTCTCAGACCATTTGCAACCTTTCCAGACAATTCACCACACTTCCAGACCATTTGTAACCCTTCCAAACGATTTGTGACACTTCCAGACCATCAACAACACTTTCAGTGAACTTGCAACCCTTTTAGGCAATTTGCAACACTTTCATGAAACTTGCAACACTTTCAGGCAACATGCAATAATTTCAAACAATATACAACACTCTCAGACCATCTGCAACCCTTCCAGACAATTTCCAACTTTTAGACGACCTAAACCACTTTCAGGCCATTTACAACACTTCTAGACAATTTACAACTCTTTCAGATCTTCTACAACACTTCCATGCCATTTTACAACACTTCCAGAATGACCTGCAACCCTTTCAGACAATTTACAACACTTCCAGACCATCTGCAACTCTTTTAGACCATCTACTACGATTTGCAACACTTCCAGACCAATTGTAACCCTGTCAGGCCATCAACAACACTTTTAGGCAATTTGCAGACCTTTCAGAAAATTAGCAACACTTTTACGCAACTTGCAACCCTTTCAGACAATTTGCAACACTTTTACGCAACTTGCAACCCTTTCAGATCTTCTATAACACTTCCAAACAATTTACAATCCTTTCAGATCTTTTATAACACATCCAGACAATTTACAACCCTTTCAGACCATTTGCAACCCTTCCAGACCAGCACAACACTCGCCGATCATCAACATTCCTTTCAGGCAACTTACAACAACTTAAAAAACTTCTAGACAATTTAAAGAATATCCACGCAACTTGCAACCCTTTCAAGTAATTTAAAAAAACATCCAGACAATTTAAAAAAAAACTTCCAGACAATTTAAAAGACTTCCAGGCAACTTACAAACCTTTTTAGGCAACTTACAACAATTTAAAAAAACTTCCAAGCATTTTAACAAACTTTCAGGCATTTAAAAAAACTTCTAAGCAAATTGCAACCCTTTTTAGGCAACTACAACAATTTAAAAATCTTCCAGGCATTTTAACAAACTTTCAGGCATTTTAAAAAAACTTTCAAGCAACTTGCAACTCTTTCAAGTAACTTAAAATAATTTAAAAACCTTCCAGGCATCTTAACAAACTTTTAGGCATTTTAAAAAACTTCCAGGGAACTTGCAATCCTTTTCAGGCAACTTGTGACCCTTTTCAGGCAACTCGCAGCCCTTTTCTGGCAACCAGTAACAATTTCAGGGAACTCGCAACCCTCTCAGGCAACTTGCAACAATTCCAGGAAACTTGCAACCTTTTTCAGGCAACTTGCAACACTCTCAGACCATCTGCAATCTTTTCAGACAATATACAACCCTTTCAGATAATTTACAACACTTCCAGACAATTTCCAACACTTTCAGACCATTCACAATACTTCCAAAACAATTTATAACCCTTTCAGATCTTATAACACTTTCAGGCAATTTACAACCCTTTCAGATCTTCTACAACACTTCCAGACAATTTTCAACCCTTTCAGACCATTTACAACCCTTCCAAACCATCTACAACCCTCTTAGAACACTTGCAACCCTCTCAGGCAACTTGAAACCCTCTCAGACAACTTGCAACCCTCTCGAGCAACTTGGAACAATCTCAGACAATCTACATCTACAATCTTTTCAAGCAGTCGAAAAAAAAATTTGATAGAGATCTGCCAGACCGTTTCTTTGTAATTAATAATTTCTGTCAAGAAAGAGAGTTCATGCTCTTAACAAATGTTTTAAAATATTATAGGCCTACAAAAACTGTTTTAAAATCAAGTATTTATCAAGTTATAAAATATTTCTTATTATTCAAAACTAAAAATTACTTCAACAGATCATAAAATATATTTCATTTACTTACAAAATTTCATATAAACAAGGCACCGTCTCCTCCTCCACACATTTACACAAAAACTATTTACACAATCAATTTATTTTACCCTTTGTGACCAAGACCAAAATAATTGGAATTTCATTTGGAAGAATCCACAAGTTTGAGTTCCTCGTCCAATGACAATCTCCTGAAGAATCTTTCAATGTGATCCTCTGTGATTACCTCTAATTGATGTGGGGTCCATACTGGTTTGTTGTCTTTGTCTATTAATCTGGCACGAACACCTAAAAGAATAATAGAAATAATCATAAAATAAAACTAGTTGGGTGTATGGCATCGTGCCTTAAGGCAAATTGCTAGAACTTCCCGTACTGTAACGAAATGTTCGAGGAATACTGAATGTTTTCAAATAGATTATTATGAATATTGTAGCATTCTATTATATTATAATTATATAATATTTAGAATTATATAAACTGAATTGCAAAGCTAAACATATTTGTTTAAAGTATTTTAGAACTTTAGTCAGAATTAAAAATAAAATCTGAATTATTTTCGATATACAAAAAAATTTTTTTTTTTGAAAAAATAATACTCTCTCAAAAACTCGATTTCTATTTTCTGCACTCTTTGCTCTTTATCTCTGTAACTGCTGGACCTGCCTTTGCCAAAAACTAATCAGCACATCTCCTTATCAATAGGAATCGAATGTTTTTTGAATCATTTAAATCGGTTGATCCGTGCGCCCGAAAACGTGGACGAAAAATTGTATCCATACATACATACATACACGCACACACATCCATTTTTTCTGAGGTACGCCAAAATGTTCAGAAACCTTCAAAACGTCGAGAAATCGGCCCATTACGATAACTTACCCTACGGGAAGTTAAAAAACTCAACAAGATTTATCTTTACCTTCATGGAAGTCTGGATTTTGCAAGGAATGCACTGCAATAGTGTATTCCATTTGTAAACACTCGGCAAGAGATTTCATTTCTGATCCTCTTTGCAATTGTGCAAAAGTTAATTTGAGACTTGTCGGCGACATTTTTTTAATTGCCTGCACAAGAGAAAAGACATAAAGTATATATATATATATATATATATATATATATATATATATATATATATATATATATATATATATATATATATATATATATATATATAAATATATATATCATATATAAAAATGAATCGAAAAATGTGTTAATAAGTGCATAACTAAACAACGCATTTGGCCAATTTGGCCAATTCTTTTTTTAAAATGTTCGTTGAAGTCCAAAGATGGTTCTCACGGCGAGAAAAAATCGAATAATTGCCGCGAAATCCCTTAAAATAGCTCTTTTCTTTTTCACATACAAACGTTTTCTAACTAAAACGTAGAATCAATTTGAGTTTTATTGCTATTATATAAAGTTCATATTAAATTACAAGTACTCACTGTATACTCCTTCTGAACGATTATTCGGATTTTGATAAATCTTTCTGAAGTTTGTTAAGGAAATTTTCTAGGATCTGTGTGATTATAAAGTACTGAGATGTATGTGTAATATTGTAGAAATAAATGAAAAAAATTGTAAAAAACGACATGTCATTGTTTGCATTGAAAACAAATAGTAACTATCATCTGCCAAAAATTTCAATTTACTTATGAGCCTAGACAATGTTGGAATATGTATAATAAATTTATGATTATAAATGAAATGAAAATTTTGACTTTTTTTTACTATTTTTATATAACTGTTATTGTTAAAATACTTAATAATTAGTTAAATAAAAACTTATAATTTAAAAACATTTAAAAAATTGTGAAACAAAATATTTCTTTCATCAAAATACCTAAAAATTTGTAAAATAAAAAACTTATATTGTAAAAATTTTTGATGATAATAATAAAAATGATAATGATAATGATAATATTAATAATAATAATATAAGATACTTAAATTTGTTAAAATATCATAAAATAACCTAAAATTTGTTAAATGAAATAATTATATTGTAAAAGTATTGTAATGATTATTAAAATACTTATTAAATTTTTAAAAAGTACTTGCAACAAACAAACTAGTTATATTTAAAAATAATTAAAATTAACTAAATATAAATAAGTTTATAGTAAATAAATTAAATAATAAATAAATAAGTAATAAAATAACTAATAATCAAATTATATTAAACCTATAAAATATTGACTTAAGCCTTATTAGAATATTATTATACCGACGGCTTGTAAAATAAATAAATAAATAAGAAAAATGAAATGTCTACATTATTATTACCGAAAGGCAGCTGAGATGTGCCAGAAATTAAAATAATATAAAATACAGTATATATGTATGGCAGATTGAATGATACACATATGAACAGGATATGACAAATTAATTCACTTGAAATATGAAATTATGAAATATGAAATTAATCAGGGCCCTTTCTACTTTTAATGCGATGCATGCGAAAAACACGAGCGCACGTCTTAGGGGGCGCCAACAAAAGATTCGGATATTAAATTTTCAATACAGTTTTTTTTCAATATATAATTTCTTTGCATCTTTTACTAATGTTTCCACAATCTTTTTGAAATTCGTAAAAATTTCACTTTATAACAACAAATGGAAAGTAAAGATGAATATATACAATTCGGCCCTCACGATATCGATTAGGAGAAGTTTAAGAAGCAATTTTGGATATCTTAAATAATAAAAAATTCAATTAATTTAATCCAACATGATTTAATTTAATCCAGTATTATGTTATGGTTATGTTATACCGTTTAAAAGACTTCAATTTCCAATATAATAGTGTGAGAATTGAGACTCATCATTTTATTTAAAGCAGTTCTACATTTAACATCGCTCATATTATAAATGTATATGCATTTTGGCGTGAGGAGTAATTTAAAAAACAATAATTATTATTTTTAGGTAAACGGTGAATATTAGCATATAATATTAAAAAATTGTAGACAACGGTGCAAGACAACGTTTGTCGGGTCATCTAGTATATATATATATATATATATATATATATATATATATATATATTTTATTATACTCAATCAATTACTACCTTCAATGTATTATTAGCCCATTCGCTATTATCATCCTCCAGCTTCCTAATAATGTCTTCGACAGTGGGTGCAGTAAAGCACTTGTTAATCCTCTCCAGGACCGGTTCTAGTTCAAAAGGTATTCCATCGTTGATCTGGTATTTATCAAGGCACTTGTCAACGTCCTCACTGCTTCGACATTCAGTCAAATCCAATTGGAGGTCGTTCATGCTGCCACTGTCGCAGTAATGTGTGGCTATGCCTGCTTTGTAGACATCGCTGCCCTTCAGACGATGACCTGGATAAAGGACACATTAACATTAGTCTTTTTACATCAAAGTGATGAGAAATGTGTATTAGTTTTTAAGTGTATTTACCGGTCAGCCCCAAATACAATCCTAGTTTTCCCTGTAGGCGTGGCAAGAAATAACTTCCGCCAACGTCCGGAAACAGGCCGATGGCCGTTTCCGGCATTGCAAAAAGAGTCCTGTCGGTGGCCACTCGGTATTTTCCGTGAACAGACAAACCGACGCCTCCGCCCATTGTAATACCTAAAAACCAAAATATAATCCATAAAAATTAGTTATAAGACGATTTGACATTTTTCTACATTTCTTTTTAAAGCACGAAAATTTTTTATTGGGCACTTTTTTACAGTTTGCGTAGCAGAAACTAGATAAAATTTACTACAATTCTATACAAACAGTCTTATATACTGCTATACAAAAAGTTTGTATAAAGTGCTAATTTAAAAATTTATAAAAGTGCTAATTTGATGATATATATGGAATTCGAGGGACATTTTTCTACATTTCTTTTAAAAACCCGAAAATTTCCGGACACTCTATTTCAGTTAGCTTAGCAGAAACTAGATAAAATGTACACCAATTCCATATAAACTGTCTTATATACTGCTATATAAAAATTTTGTATAAAAATAGCTTGAAATAGCCCGAACGCACATAGTGCTAATTTGCTACATATGGATTCAGGGGACAATTTTCAACATTTCTTTAGAAAACTCGAAAACTTCCTTCAGGACACTATTTTATAGTTAGCTTAGCAGAAACTAGATAAAATTCACTGCGAGTCCCTATAAACTGTCTCATGCACTTCGATAAGAATATTTTTAATAAAATTAGTCTGGCTCACCCTAATGCTTAGTGCTAATTTGCTAGATATGGATTCAGGGGACAATTTTCAACATTTCTTTAAAAAACTCAAAAACTTTCACACAAACATTCTTTTTAAGTTAGCTTAGCAGAAACTAGATAAAATTTACAACAATTCCATACAAACCGTCTTACACACTTTTATATAAAATTTTTGTATAAAACTACTTTGTACTGGCCCTTATCCATAGTGCAAATTTATAATATATGGATTCAGGGGACATTTTTCCACATTTCTTTAAATAACTCAAAAAGTTCCTTCGGAACAATATTATATTTAAATAACTCAAAAATTTTCTTCCGGACACCCCTTTTTAGTTAGCTTAGCAGAAACTATCATAGTTAGCTTAGCAGAAACTAGATAAAATTTACAACAATTCCATATTAACAGTCTTATATACTCCAATATGAATATTTTGAATAAAACTAGTTGTCATTTATATGAATAGTCATTTTATATTCTTGACAAGATGGCTATATATGAATTCAGAACAATTTTCAATTTTTCTTTAAATAACTCGAAAACTTCTTTTTTAAACACTGTCTTTTAACTAACTAAGCAGAACAAGATAAAATTCACTAAATACATACTAGATAATAAACAAAGGAATCAGAAATGCATTGTTAATACACAATTAAATTGAAATGAAGTTTAAATATAATCAACTAAATGTAGATTCAATAATATGGCACATATTCTTGAGAAGACTTTCACATTACACTTTTAAGTAATTTAGATTTATTGAATTTTAAATTGTATAAACTATATAATTTTCCTTATAAATAAATTAACTATCATATTTATTATCTTCTTATTAACGCCTTTAATTTGCGCAGTTAAAATTACAAATACATTTTATCGCCTACTACAAAAATATTTTCAATGAATAAATAATAATTGATGCACCATAAAATATTTATTATAAAATGTTGAAACTCTTTTAGGATAATGACGTAATTTATTTATCTTCATGATGTATTTCTCTAGTATGTAATATTTTATTTTTATGATCATGTTTCAATATTATTAGCAATAGATTATTGTGCAAGTATGAATTGAATATCTTTCTATTTCTAATATGTAAATTATGATTAACTTAATCATTTGTCAATATAATATTTTAATATTTACCGTCAATTAAGGCCACATAAGGTTTCTGATAATTTCCAATCAAACAGTTGATAGTGTACTCAGTTCGAAAAAATTGTGCTCCCAAATCATCACCAGCTTTTCCACTCTCGACAACTGCTATAACATCACCGCCTGCACAGAAGGCTTTCTCACCAGCACCCTGATAAATAGAAGTATAATATAAATACTAACAACTAAAGGAATAGATACAAAATAATAAAATGTAATTTCAGCATTGTTTGGTTTATAAATTTGTGCCAGGTGGTTTAATAATGAGTTATATAGTAGTATAGTATTAGATGAAGACTATATTGTCCTTTTAAGTTAAATAAATCTTTTACCCTCACCCTGATAATAACAAGAGCCTTCTCCCGTTCCCATTCCTTCAACACCGGCAAAAGCTGTCTCACCATCGACAGATTAAGAGCATTCAAAGCCTTCGGCCTATTCAAAGTAATAACTCCTACATCCTTAATACTTTCCAATAAAATCTCATCACTCGTCGTCGTAACCATGAATCTTTTGCTCATTTTCTTCACATTGCACAAAGTAATTCTTTTGATTTGGGAGAACATTTTTCTCAGATTCCTCTTGATCTGACGAATGGTAAATGACTACTAGAACATATCAGAGTCTTGGGTTATACGGTTACGTAATAAATTTATCGTTTAACAGTAAAGGAAAACATTAAATATTGTTTTTTTAATTAACTGTATACATGTTTGACCTTTCAGTAGACGTCACTGTCAAATTCGAGCGATTGTTGAGACATCTAACGGTGGTGGGATGAAGTTAAAAAACCGCTTTTTTCAAATTCAAAATTTAACACAAAAATATTTTCAAAAATTTGACAATTTCATCATTTTGTTTTGAAAATTAGATAGATCTAGGTGACTTTATTTTAATAATTTCATTGTTTAGTAATAAAGAATCACGTAGAATTGCAATAAATTTTATTTACTATGCATATAGAATAGACATAATAAAAAGCAAGAAATCAGGTATAAATTCAATCATTAATTACCAAAGTTGAGAATAAAAAAGCCACATTTTGTACAGTCTAAAACATTTGACAGCTCTCTCAAAAGAGACTTCTTGATAAATTATAATACTAAAATTATTTCTTTTTGTACAATTACCTGCGTTACCTTTTTGACCATCCTTAAATCAGCATATAATTTCTTCCAAAGTATCAATATTTTTTGGCAATCAATTTAATAATAATTAATTTAAATTAGTCTAATCACATTTTTAGTTTCAAACTGTTTTCTCTCAGTTCATTACAGCAACTTTTATTCTCGATCAACTTTTATTCTTTAGAGCTCATATTGAATACTGTAATTATATTTCGAATAATCAATTATAAAACTATTGCAGTAAATGCAGCTTTATTATAAATTTAATGCATTTGTTTACCTGTTTATAAATATGCTTTGTGTTTCAATAAAAGGTTGTCATTAATCAATAGCAATAAATAAAATAAAATAATTCACCTGGGTTGCTTAAACATAAAGTTTATGCCTGAAATTAAATTGTGAGACTATTTCTGATGACATTTTTCTTGATTCAATAATATATAATTCAATAAGATCATGATGAAGTTGTGTAAATTATCTTCAAATTGTAGATTATATGCCAGCGAGTAAAAATATCCATTTATAAATAACTCATGTTTGTCTTTCTATAAATTGTGTCCTGATTATATTGTTCTGAGTAAACAAATTGTGCTTAATATTTTCATTTAAACCTAAATATAATAAATAATAGTTTATTACATATCTGTCAATATAAATGTTTATAATATAAATAATTGTGCAAAAATAGAGATGATTTTTGTGCATATATAGATGTAAAACTTTCATTGTACTAAATACTAATAAGTTGTCAAATAAATTAAGTATTTATTAACATACCCATTGTATTAACATTAAGATGTTATTATTTCTCTTGATTCAATGATGATATCATAATAAACCCGTGTAAATTATCTTCAAATTGTGGATTATTTACCAGCGAGTACAAATATCTTTTATAAAAACGTATTATTGTACTTTTATGAATGTCATCTTCATAACATGGTTTGTATTAAATATAATATCTTCATTTAAACCTAAATAAACACAATTTCATTATAAATTCAATTCACTTGTAATAATAATGCAAAGACAAAGAAATTTAGACAGATAAAAAATTATTGTGGTACTTAATACTAATTTTTATACAAATTAAGTATATTTAACATACCTGTTGCATTAATGTGTTAGATTTTCATATTTCTCTTGATTCAATGATAAAATCATATTAAACTTGTGTAAATTATCTTCAAATGGTGGATTATTTACCAGAGAGTACAAATATCCTTTATAAATAACTTATTTTTGTACTTTTGTGAATATCATCTTCATAATATAATTAGTATTGAGTATAACATCTTCACTTAAACCTAAATAAACACAAATTCATTATAAATTCAATACAATTCTAATAATCATGCAAAGACAGAGAAGCTTTAGCGAGATTAATACTTATTGTGGTACTTAATACTAAATTTGAAATAAATTGACTAATTAATATAACGTATCCATTGTATTTATCAATTAGGTTTATATATTTCTCTTGATTCAATGGTGAAATCTTAATAAACTTGTGTAAATTATCTTCAAATTGTGGATTATTTACCAGGGAGTACAAATATCCTTTATAAATAACTTATTATTGTACTTTTATGAACATCATCTTCATAATATAACTTGTATTGAGTAAGACATCTTATGAAATAAACAGAATTTCATTATAAATTCAATACAATTCTAATAATCATGCAAAGACAGAGAAAAGCCAGATAAAAAAATATTGTGGAACTTAATACTAATTTTTATATAAATTAAGTATTTATTAACATTGTTGCATTAATGTGTTAGATTTCAATATTTCTCTTGATTCAATAATAAAATCATAATAAATTCGTGTAAATCATCTTGAAATTGTGGATTATATATAAGCGAACAGGAACATACTTGATAAAACTTAAATAACTTATTTTTGTTTTTCCGTGAATTGTATCTTCATATCATGGTTATGTTGATCTGAGTGTACAAATTGTGTGTAATATCTTCTTTTAAACCTAAATAAACTTAATTTCATTACAAATTTATTATAGTTGTTCTTATAATTAATAATCATGCAAAGATAGAGAAGCTTATGCGTGCCGATTAAAAACTATTTTCTACTAACTACTAATAAGTTTTTGAATAAAATAAGTAATTATTAACATACCCATTATATTAATGTATTAAATGTTTACCAGTTTATCCAGTGAATATAAGTATCCTTTATAAATAATATAACACCTTGCTTTATTTGTACTTCTATGTGAATTTTGTCATCATAACATGGTTATGTTGTTCTGAGTTCTCACTTTGTACATAATACTTTCATCTAAACCTAAATAATCATAATTTTGATTATAAATTTATTGCAGTTGTTCTTATAACTAATAAATCTATAAAAATAGAGAAGCATATGTGTGCACATATGCTTGTTGCTATGCACATAAAAAACTGATGAAAAACTATTGTGTACTAAATACTAATAACTTTTTAAATAAATTATTAACATACCCATTGTATTGATGTATCAAGGTTTTATATTTTTGTACTTAATAAACACAAATAATCATATTAAATTTTTTGAATAATACTTGTTGCATTTACAAAATGGACGTTGGTACAGGTTTGACATAAGGGAGAAAAAATTAGCCTAAAAATTTAGAAAATATATTATTTTATATTAAAATATTATTTTTAGAGTACTTAAGCAATATTTATTCGAATTATGAACAATATTTATCGTGTATTTATTTAAATATATTTTGTGCAACAATTTAAAATACTTTTAATGTTGGTAACCCTGCAACATATTTTGTGTACTTCACATTGTTGTCAATTCAAACCAAAAAAAATATTGAAAATGTGTTTATTTTTTTATTTATTTATTAATATAATTTATAGTTTATATAATATAATAATATGATAATTTGCTTCAGTAATAAGTTTACCAAAGTTTTTTAACATTTTTGTGTTTGTATTTGCGGTTATGATTTGATTGTCAACAGGTAGATTTACTTTGAAATTTTCTTAATTAATTAGTAAATTATGTGGTTTGCAGTTGATATCCAGGATTTATTTAAAGCTATTTTTGGGTAACATCAGTTTGTAGTTAATCATTTAGTTTAAATTTGTAGCTGTGTAATATATGTCACTGACAGATACAAAATCTAAATTGATGCAAGAAATGTGTATTAATTAATTGTGGTTTCGCATATTTATTGTGTAAAGCATGGTTTTGTACTTCATTTTCAGTGTGGTTTCAATAATTTGCTTCAAAATTGTTTGTTGCTGTAGTAATTTCAAAATCGATTCTATTAGCTGTTATAATGCCTAATTACTGAAGTAAAAGTGCTTAAAAGCGTGCGGAATTGTGTTTTAACTCCGTTTATCATATTTATCATGGCATTTCGCCCATATAGTCTGATTTAAACAGAAACTTCGAACGGGATTTATATTTTCCTTCAGGAGATGTTTTTCTTCAGCATCTGCATCCGCCATTTTGAATCCATGCAACGGCTATTAAGTTAGCTACTAATCAGCTCGCAGCTCATTAGCGCGTCAGCATCCGAACTGTTAACATCTCCGCGCAGTGCAGTGCAAAAAATATTTAAATATTATTATTTTAATACAAATCAGTGTCTAAAAAGTGTGTTCCTGTGTACAACGTGCATTTAAAAAAAGGTAAGTGCTTCTATTTTGTATTATTTTGCACAAATATTGCGTTTTAATAACACGACAAGTGACGCCGTTTGGTTCAAATGCCAACGACGTTTTGCGTGTTTTAAAATGTCGTATACGTCCTTTATTTGTTCATTTACGATAAATATATGTATGTTTATTTGATATTATTGCACTTTTTCCTATTATTTATAAAGATTTTTGCACTTTTTTGCAATTTAAAATTTGTGTTTTTGAAAAATCCAAGATGGCGGCCATGAACACAACCGTTGGTTTTGTGCTGTTTTAAGCAATACAGTCGTTTCCACGACGTATTGATAATGAAAATTCTATACATTTTGATCTAGTGTATCTATTTACATATAAAAAATGGTTTTGTACAGTTTTTTGCAAAAAAGCAAACTCAAGTTTTTCGGTGTTGTACCGGAAGTAAATGGCGGCTCTCAACTGTCAACTAACGAATGTTTGAATTTAAATTTTAGCAATTGCTAAAATACAATCGTATCTGTAATGATAATCTAATTATACATCAATTTCACGAGCTGAATACTATTTTGTATGAAAATTCGAAATTATTTGCAAGTTTTTGCAAAATACCAATCAACCTTCCTGTTGAAGAATTTTCGGTTCATATATTTTTCATTATCATAAATTCTTTGTATTGAACAAAAATTACATGCATTGTTAGAAGATCTGCTATAATTTCTATTAATACTTCAATTTTATGATAAATATAGCGACGATATTATTATTTGGTCGTTTGCGGTTTTTATTATATTTTTTGGCAAACGATATTATAAATTGGACGTTTGCTACTTTTTATTATATTTTTTGGCAAGGATATTATAAATTGTACGTTTGCTATTTTTTATTATTTTTTTTTTGGCAACGATATTATAAATTGGACATTTGCTGCTT